CAGAGACATTACTCTGCCAACAAAAGCCCATCTAGTCAAGGCTATGGTTTTTCCAGTAGTCAGGTATGGATGTGAGAGTTAGACTATAAAGAAAGCTGAGCTCCAAAGAATTGATGGTTTTGAACTGTGGTGTTGGAGATTTGAGAGTCCCTTGGACTGCAAGGAGATCCAACTAGTCCATCCTAAAGGAGATCAGTTCTGGGTGTTCATTGGAAGGACTGATATTGAAGCTGAAACTCCAATACTTTGGCGACCTGATGCAGAGAGCTGAATCATTGAAAAAGACCCTGATGCTGGGAAAGATTGAGGGCAGGAGGAGAAGGGGACGACAGAGGATGAGATGGTTGGATGGCATCACCGACTCTATGAACATGGGTCTGGGTGGACGCTGGGAGTTGTTGATGGACAGGGAGGCCTGGCGTTCATGGGGTTGCAAAGAGTCAGACACGACTGAGCAACTGAACTGAACTGAACTGAAGATGGCAAGTAAATATCTATAATAAAATGATTGATTAGTTTTAAAATGAAATGCTACAAAAAACTTCACCCTTATAATCATGACAATTTAGAGAAAACTGACCTTCAAAACCCACCAACTACCAAAACTTTAATAAAAATTAAATAAATGACATGAATAGTTCTGTATCCATTAAAGAAATGCAATTCATTATGTAAAAACTCCTCTCCCCAAAAAATCTCTGGGCCCAGATAGTTTCACTGGAGAATTCTACCAAACATTTAAGAAATTAACACCAGTCTTATGAATTTACACAATTTCTTCCAAAAATGGAAGAAAGGAGAAGATTTCTAAAGTCATTTTATAAGGTCAGTATTACCCTGATACCAAAATCAAAGAGAGAAAGAAAAAAGAAATCTACAAACCATTATTTTTCATCAACCTAAGCATAAAATTCCTTACCAAAACATTAGGAAACGTAACCCTGTGCATGCTAAGTTGCTTCAGTTGTGTCCAAGTCTTTGAAACCCTCTATGAACTGTAGCCCTCTAGGAACCTAACCCCACGATGCACTAAAAATTATTTACCATTTCCAAGTGGAATTTATTTCAAAGATGAAAGTGATTCAGCATTTCAAAATCAATGATGGTAATCCACCATATAAACAGGTTAAAGAAGAAAACTTATATGACCACATCAATTGATGTAGAAAAAGTGTTTAACAAAATCCAACATACATTCCTGATATAAACACTGAGTAAGCTATGAATAGAAGGGAAGTTCGTGAACCTAGACAAAGGGCATCTATTTAAAAAACCTATAGTTAACATCATACCTAATGATAAAAGACTAAATGTTTCCTGACAAGACCAGGAAAAAGCAAAGATGTTCACTCTCATCACTCATTCTCAATATATTTCTGGAAGTTCTAATCACTACAATAAGACAAGAAGAGGAAATAAGGCATACAGACTGGAAAGGAAGAAATAAAGTTGTCCCTATTTGCAGATGACATGATTGACTACATAGAAAATCGAAATGAATATACAAAAAACAAAAACACTGAAACTAGTAAATTCAGCACTGTGGCAGGATATAAAATCAAAACACACACACACACACACACACACACACACACACATCATATTTCTATATGAACACATAGAAACCAAAATCAAAACCCAATGTAATTTACAGTGTATCCAAAGAAATTGAAATACTTAGGTATACACTTAATATAATATGTACATGGTACATATACTGAAAACTATAAAATGTGATGAAAGAAATTAAGGACTTAAATAAATGTAAAAACATAACATGTGTAAAAAAGACAAATATCATACAATATCACTTATTTGTGGAATCTAAAGAAAGGATACAAAGGAACTTATCTACAAAACAGAAATAGTTACTGATGTAGAAAACTAGTGTATGGTTACCAGGGAGGAAGGAGGGATAGGGATAAATTGGGAGACTGGGATTGACATATACACACTACTATATATAAAAATAAATAACAATAAGGACCTACTCTATAGCACAGAGAAGTCTACCCAGTACTCTGTAATGGCCTATATGGGAAAAGAATCTAAAACGGAGTGGATATATGTTTAAGTATAACTGATTCACTTTGCTATACACCTGAAACTACCACAACAGTGTAAGTCAACTATACTCCAATAATTTAAAAAAAAATACCATGGGTTCAACACAGTAAAGCAGTCAATTCTCCTGAAATTATTATATAGACTTAACACAGTTTCTACAAAAGTCTCAGCAATTTTTTGTAGACATAGACAAGCTTATTCTAAAAGGTATTGATAATTGAAAGCTTCAGGTTCTAGTATAGCTAAAACAATCCTGACATGGAAGAGTAAAATGGGAGTAATCACTTTAGGGTTAGGGTTAGGGTAATCACTTTACTCATAAATCCTATGATATAACTGGAGTGATAAAGACCTGTGCATAGATATTCATAGAATGTTTTTCCTTAATAGCCAAATAACTACATACAATCTAGATGTCTTTCACTGGGTCAATGGTTAAACAAATCATGGTACATACATACCACAGAAACAAACAATGCAGGCAACAACTTGGATGAGTCCCAAGGGCATGCTGGGTGGGACAAAAGCTACTTTCAAAGGGTACAGTTTCATTTATATAATTTTGAAATGTCAAAATTATAGAAATGCAAAAGAGATTAGAGATTGCTAGGTTAAGGACCAAGGAGGGAGAGTGGGAAAGAAATAGATATAGCTATAAAAAGGAAACCTGAGATATCCTTATTGTGCTAGAACTATTCTGTATACTGTCTGTATATTCTGTATATTGGGGTGGTATACGCAAGAACCTACTATGTGATAAAATTGTACAGAAGTAAACAAACACTGAGACACACATGACTACAGGTGAGCTTGGGAAATCTGAATAAGATAGGTGAGTCAATGTCAACATTCTACTTAAGGCACTTCAATGTCTTACAAAATTCTACCATTGGAGGAAATAGTAAAGTCTACAGGGGATCTTTGTATGTTAATATGCAATTATCTCCAAAAATTTCTATTTAATAAATCCTACTATTTTTTTCAAGAATAATACTGCATCATAAATAGCTTGTTTGTTGGCTGCTAATCAGGTTTGCATGAGACCTCAGGTAATAAACAGCTACAGGCCACTGCCTCAAACTAAGCTGAAGGAGATATGGTTTTTCATGTTTCCAATGGTCAGTCATTGATCACACTGGGACACACTTGACACTTTCCTAAGGAATTATCTGACCTCCTGTGAACTCCCTGGTGCTGTTAATGTGTAAGCAGGCTGCACAACCACTTCATGAATTGGCAGACAAGACTTGGAAAGGGATTAGATAGATCTTGAAATAAATAGTTGATGGAACTGAGCTGTTTCCACAGAGATAAGATGATATCTGGGATCAGATCCCCAGAGGGCTGTTTTGGACAAACAAAGTGACTGTGTTGTCTGATGTTCTAATAGTAAGTGAAAATTGGATCAACAGTTGACCTTAGGCGTGCTTTACAGATGCAGATAGAGGCTTGGCAGAAAGAAGGACCAACTGAACTGTCCAATAATGAGATGTGCTACTTTTGGATGTAGAGAGTGTTCTATTTTTGGAAGCATTTAAGCAGAAGTCATTGAACATCTCAGAAATGTGGACATTTCCTTTCAATATGCAGATTCTAATACCAAAGTAATCATGTAAAACACAGCTTCTGGTATTTAATTGCAACACATCTCTTGTTCCCTCACTGGCTTTTCTTTTTTCCTGACTGGAACCTTCTCTTCTGTGATAATTGGAAGGGGAAAAAAGTACTCTGAGGTCTTGAGATCAATGTTCTATATAGACTGCAATCTCTGCAGGAAAATTCAAGTTACTGTTTTTGGTGGCATGTAGGGACACAGAACCCTGCAATTACTCCCTGGACTAATCTGAGAGATTGATAATGGACACAAGATGACCATTGTTGCATTATGAGAAATACCAGTTGTTTTCATGTCTGTTTTTCCTAATAAACTGTGAACTCTTTCAAGGATACCATATTTTACATTTTTTTAAAGTTCTTCCTACATCTAGAACCTTACACATAGTGGCTTCTCAATAGTTTCTCCATAAAGTGTTTCTCAGGCATGATCAGATGGTTTGTGGTGTAGTTTGTATAACAAATGCTAGGCTGGCATTTCTTCCCAGGAGGAAGAAGGTGCTCGCTTCCTCTTGCTTTTTTGGGGTGACATCTAAGGTAGATATTGTGACTATTTCTAAAGATATCTCTCTACCATTTCCTTCATTTAATGCCAACCAGAGAGCTAAAACAATACTTTAAAGATCTGAGCTTTTGACAGAGTTCCTAGTGCTGGACACATGAATCTGGTTTGATGTCTTAGATGTGAAAAGGGTGGAAAGGCTGTGGATATATTCTTTAAGCTGAGTCTGGTGGGTTGGTGGACAGGGGAGGCATTTATAAATTGATCAAGGCCAACTGAGTGACTTAGCACACATAGGGCCTTCTAAACTTTGGAAAACCTTGTTGATGTATGTTCCAGTGTGGCATTCTCTGCTTCCCATCATCCTCCTCACTCTTGGGAGTAGGGGTATTGGGGTGGAGGAAGGAGAGGGCAATGTGTTGTTGGTCATTCAAAAAAGGAAATAGGAAATCCAAAGAGGCTAAGTTAGGAAGAGAAAAAGAAGAGGTCTGGGACCAGAGGAAGGTGTGCTAAGGAAGACTGGGCCTTCTCTGGCCCCTTGGTGAAAGGATAGGAATACCCACAGCCAGGAGTCTGGCCTTGTAGCCTATTTGGATGGTGGGGAGGGGTACCCTGGGACACACTAGGAGCCTAAGTCTCAGCACAGCTAGACACCTGTCAGTCAGTCCTTCCAAGACTTCCCCATGGATGGCCCTGCTCTCAAAGGGATCTCTCCCAGAATGGCATTAGTAAGATAACACGGCCTTCAGAGCGAGGTGGAGGCGGGGTGGAGGGTAGCCTAAAATTAGCCCTCTGGATCTATTCAGCCAGACTGCAGGCAGTGTTATTAACAGTGGAAACTGGGGGCTCTGCCTGCTCCAGCCCCTGGGGCAGTAGGGGGCTCCCCTTGGAGGGGCCACCAAGGCCCAGTGCTTCGCAGAGGTGTAGGGGCAGTCTGGTGAGTACCTGGAGCCTAGAATATGACGATGCTATCAGGAACAAGTGAACTCTTAGGGCTGCCAGGTGGTGAACCTATGATCACCACCCTTTGTAGTCTTTCCGCTGGGTCTGGTTTCTGGCGGTGCTTGGGAGGTCAGTGAGGAAACCTCACAGAGAGAAGGACAGGTTCCTGCTGTGTTTGTCCCAGGAAAGTATGTCTGCCTGGGCTCTGGGATTCAAATGGGCCTACTTCTTCAGGGAAATTGCTTCAGTTATGCAATACAGGAGAGGGGAAGGTTTGTCTGTGTCCTTGCTTAGTATTTGTGAGTATGTGGATGCAGAAGGGTATGCTCAAGGACAGAAAGGCAGAGCTTCTCGATGTGGAGGGGAGGGGAAAACGAGCGTTAAAAATAGTCTATTAATGCTTGGCAGACTATTCTGGGGCCTACTGAAATCAGCCACTCTCCCAAAGGAGTTCTTAACCTAGATTCACAGACACCCCCACAAGAGGGCCTTAGATAGAATGCAAAGAGTCCAAAAATACAGATGATATGAACAAACACTTTTATTTCCCCTTAATCTAACTGAAATTTACTACTTCCTTCAAGGATGAATGCAGGCAGCAAATAGCAATCATATTACTAGTTCCTGTAACTTGGTCACCAGAAGAAATCATAGATATTTCCTTTCATATTACAGTTGTGACAGAGATCTAGAAATGCCATTTGTGCTCATTATAACTTAGAAATTATTAGTAGAGCTTTTTGTTTAATGTGTTAATAAAGAACTTTTATTACTATATCATGCAATTTTAAAATATTTTCATAGCTATTTTTCAATATAATTGGTTTCCTTTAATTCTGTGTATCTTATGGATGGAGGGACACATATGCCTGTGGCCGATTCATGTTGATGTATGGCAAAAACCATCACAATTTTGTAAAGTAATTATCCTCCAATTAAAATAGATTAATTAATCTAAAAAGAAAGAAAAAATTAAAAATCATTCTGAGATGGGGCCAGAGACTTAATAAGATTGTCACAGGGGCTGATGTCACCAAAAAAGAGTTTAAAACCCCTCCACTTTGGGGATCAGGAGAAGGATCCTTGCATAGAATGCCCACACATAATAACTGATTAATAAACAATAGTACGGTGAGGTTAGACAATAGATGACTTAGATTTTCTTACCCTATCTAATGAGGTGAGGTACAATTCACTCAAGTACCCAAGGCTGCTGGGGTTTATGTCTTGTTCTCCCTCTGGAGGCTCATTATATTGGCCCTGCTGTAGGCTCATAATATGACCTTGGTAAGATCTTTAGCATTTCCCTTCATACTCCCTTTCCTCTTCATTTCTCTGAACATCACTCCCCCAAGAGTAAGATAGTAATATTGTAAAATAGTAAGATTTATTTTATTTAATGATTTCGTAAAGAAATTATTTCTTTACAAATCATATGATTAAGGTCCTGGAATCCAGCATGACCCTCAAACCTGAGGATTCTTGGAGCTACAATACAACTTCTTGAGGCAAGGAGGAGGGATATGTGTTTGCTTTTCAGGTGGTAATAGAAAGTACAGGATGGGGTGTAGGGAAACCTGGATTCTATTCCATCTCTAAATTGAAGTTATGGAGCTTTAACCTCTGGAGGGAGCAGCAGTCATAGAAATTGAAGACCTAAGTAGTAATAATAATCATAGTGAAAATGGTTACTGAGTACTACATTCAAATGATATTATAAATATTTAAGATGTATTAACTCATTTAATCCTAACAATAGTCCTCTGAGACAGATACTACTATTACTCTATCTTTACAGATGAAGGAATAGACATAGAGAGATTAAATGACCTGCCCTAGGTCACAGAGCTACTAAGTGGTAGAGATGAGATTGAAACAGAATCCTAGGCCATGTTTTACTACTTCCATATATGTATTCCCAATCTGCAGTGGGGACAAAACAGATCCACACAGAAGGAGTTGTGATACAGTGTGATGACTGCTCTAGTGCTATAAGAGCCAAGACTCAAGGAAGTAACCCATCAGAGGAAGTTGCATGTGAAAGAAGGAAACATGATATATATTAAGAGCCATAATTTCTCCTCCCTTATCGATGGATTTTGGAGTATAAGTAGAGAAGTGGTAGAAAGTGAGGCTGGAGATTTGGGCCAAGGTTTTCTCATGAAGGACCTGTAAGCTTGGCAAGGCATCTGGGCTATACTCTGAAAGAAAAGGGAGTCATTAAAGGATTTAAAATAGAGGATTGGCACAGACAAGGTTTATATATTTAAGTGATCACTTTAGCAATAATAATAAGAAATTATTGAAAAAGTAAACTAGCTAGGAGACTACTGTAAGAGTTGATGTAAAAGATGATAGAGGCCTAGATAAAGTACTGGCAATGAGTATGAGCCTGAGAGGGGTAGCCTATAGAGGTCTCTAGGAAGTAAAATCCATGTGATTTGGTAATCAGTTAGCTGGGGATGGGAGAAAGAAATAAAGAGGCCTGACATTAGTCTTGGGTATTTGGTTTGGTTGACCAGTTGGATGATGAGGAACTGAGATGTGGATCTAGTTTGGTGATGGTAATGGTAGTAGTGATGGTGTGATAGTGCTGATTTTGAAGTACCTGAAAGAATTCAATGAATACATACCTTTGCTGAAGAGAGAGCTGGGCTACTTGGAGTAGTGGGCTTGAAATCATCCTGATAAATGTGAAAGCTATAGCTCTAGAAGAAGGAGAGAACACGGAGGACAAAACTGTTTCAGGGGAGAACAGAGTGGGGGAAATCAGAAGAGTGTGCTGGCCAGGAAGCCAAGAGAAGACTACATAGTAAGAAGTGGTCAGATGTTCCAGAAGAGTCAGAAAAGGAAATATCTGATAAATAGCCAGTAGATTTAACCACAAGGATGACTTTTAAAGAACTATTCAGTGTATGATTAAGGGTGGATGGAGCCACTGCAGAGGGTGGCAAAGTGACTTGGAGGTGAAGAAGAAAAGAAAGGTGGCTAGAGTAGGACAAAGGACCATAGAAGTGTTTTGTTTCCAAAGATGACTGAGGGAGAGGAACCAGTGGAGAGACTGAAGGCACAGAGGAAGCTCACCTTTGAAGATCTAACATGTGGTAGCTCAGTTTCTCTTGGGGCTTCCCTGGTCACTCACCCAATAAAGAATTCTCCTGCAATGCAGGAGACTTGGATTTGATCCCTGAGTCAGGAAGATCCCCTGGAGAAGGAAATGGCTACCGATGCCAGTATCCTTGCCTGGAGAATCCTGTGGACAGAGAAGCCTAGTGGGCTACAATCCATGGGGTTGCAAAGAATCAGACATGACTGAATGACTATGCATACATGCACACACACTCTTTCTCTCAACAGTTCCATGAGGCAGGGATGATCATTTCTGTCTTATAAATAAAGAAACTGAATCCCAAAGAAGGGAAGAGACTTGCCCAAAGGTTACTCAGATAGAAAATAGGGGTGCTGAGTTGCAAACTTAGATCTGTCTGATTTCTAAAATCCTCTTGTTATAATTTCACCCAAAAAAATGGATAAATAATAAATATATGGAGTTGATGCTGATGCATAGGGGGAGCTAAAGTTGAGGGAGACCCATCCACCCACCTCACAAATTATTCTATGAAGTGTGTATTCGAGGTACCAGGCTAACAAAGAGGGGTCAAGGTCGACAGTGAATATAAGGATGTATGTGGCCTTGAGACCAGGGCTGCAGGGTATGGGAGAGGATGAAGACTCTACTTCTGAAAAACCTACCAGCTTATCCTGATGACATTACAAACTGAGGTGGGTGACTTTGACTTTGGAGCATTACAGACAGGACAAGAAAGTTCAAAGCATTAGCTTGAGTCAGTCACTGGGCGATGAGTGATTTTGTAGAGCCTGGGGGTAATGAAGAGACAAGAGCTGAGGGTTGAGGCAAGGCTCCAGGCTGGGTAGAGCAGAGAGGATGGGAAAAGGCTTGACTCAGAGAGATGGGAAAGATTGAAGTCAGGAGGAGAAGGGGGCAACAGAGGATGAGATGGTTGGGTGGCATCACCAACTCAATGTACATGAGTTTGAGCAAACCTTAGGAGATAGTGAAAGACAGGGAAACCTGGCATGCTATAGTCTATGGGGTTGCAAAGAGTTGGACACAACTTAGTAACTAAAAAAACAACAGCAGAGAGATGGAGAAGCCATAGTTTCCAAAAAGTTGCTGGCAATCAAAGGTGTTCCTGGATTGGAGTGGTCCTGGTGGAAAATCTAGTTGTCAACAGAGAGAAGGACTTGCCCTGGAAACCTCAACTATTTCTTACTATCTCTTTAAGTTTCTTTTGCTTGAAGTGTATTTCTTATAATGTCATTTCTTTATTTAATCAGTGAATGCCATTCACCATCCATTTCCTGAGCAACTCTGTTGCCTGAAGCATGGGGCCTGAGTCTGCGTGCACATCACTTATGAGGGGCTATTAAGAGGTTGAAAAGTAAAAGTGAAAGATAGTCACACAGTTGTGTCTGACTCTGCAATCCCATGGATTGTAGCCTGCCAGCTTCCTCTGTCCGTGGAATTTTCCAGGCCAGAGTACTGGAGTGGGTTGTCATTTCCTTCTCCAGGGGATTTCCCAATCCAGGGATCAAACCCAGGTCTCCTGCACTGCAGGCAGATCTTTACCATCTGAGCCACTAGGGAAGCCTGTGAAGTTGTTGAATCTAATCTAAAAGGCTGAGAGGTAGAATTGAGGGCCTGCCCCCATAAGACTGATGTCAGAATGCTCAGGGATGACCGCTTCACACCACAAAGCACCATTCTGTTGGCCTAGCAACTTCCAGACCAGAACCACCATTAGCCCACACATTCTGAATTAAGATTCATCTACCAACTCCCTAGCTATGATGTAGACTCTGCCGGGAGTGGAGGAATAATAAGATGGATACAGGAGTCCTCACCTTGGAGTTTACACACTGATGAAGCACAGGTAAGTGGAAATAAGATATGAGAGTTCATAGCTAAAGCCTAGTTGCAATCCTTTAGAATCCCTGAGAAGGGGTGGAGATTAAGGAAGGCTTCCCAGAAGTAGGAGTTTGAAGAGTAGGCAGAACAACATATGCAAAGGTACCAGGCTGTGAAATTACCTGATCTATTTTGGCAGCCATCTCTAGGGTCTGAAATAAGATGTAGTAGGAGTTAGACACAGGGGGCCAATGAGTGAGGAGCCTGATAGTGAAGGATGGGGGAGCAAGCATCCAGGCTTTTGATGGCAGCCCTCAGTCTCCTGTTTTTGTCACCCACAGATCTGGCATATCCTCCTGCTCATAATGAGAATAGTTTTGCTCCAATCAGCCAAGGTGAAAACTTCATGGATATCACCAAGATCTTCTCCCTCCTGCAGCCTGATGAGGAGGATACCGACACAGGAGAGAAGCAAGCTCTCAATCAAGCAGTGTACAACAATGATTCCTATACTTTGGACCAGCTTTTGTGCCAGGAGCGTTACAAAAGATTTATCAATAGTAGGAGTGGCTGGGGTGTCCCTGGGACACCCTTGCGCTTGGCTGCTGCTTATGGCCACCTTAGCTGCCTGCAGGTCCTCCTGGCACATGGTGCTGATGTTGACAGCTTAGACGTCAAGGCACAGACACCACTTTTTACCGCCGTCAGTCATGGCCATCTGGACTGTGTGCGTGTGCTTTTGGAAGCTGGTGCCTGTCCTGGTGGTAGCATCTACAACAACTGCTCTCCTGTGCTCACAGCTGCCCGTGATGGTGCTGTTACCATCCTGCAGGAGCTCCTGGGTCATGGTGCAGAGGTCAATGTCAAGGCGAAACTACCAGTCTGGGCATCGAACATAGCTTCATGTTCTGGCCCCCTCTATTTGGCTGCAGTCTATGGTCACCTTGATTGTTTCCGCCTACTTTTGCTCCATGGGGCAGACCCTGACTACAACTGTACTGACCAGCACCTATTGGCTCGAATACCACGGCCCCGCACCCTCCTCGAAATCTGCCTCCACCATAATTGTGAGCCAGAGTACATCCGGCTGTTAATTGATTTTGGTGCTAACATCTACCTTCCATCTCTCTCCCTGGACCTGAACTCGCAATATGATAAAAGCACTGCATTGCTGGTACAGGCCCGAGGTGAGTGTCAAGCAGACCAGCTCTAATAGGTCTCCTGGCTTGGATGTCCCAGGGACACAAATCACCCCCTAAGTTAATATTTCTGGGGTGAATTGGAGAAAACACTATTGTCTCCCCTTTCTTGGGGCCCTAGTAGAAAAGAGGTTACAGATTCCTTTTTAGGAGAAGGTTCACTTAGATGAGGTAAAGTTTGCACAATCCCAATTTGTGGTTCTGGCTCTGCCAATGACAGTTTTGTGGCCTTGAACATGCCTTCTCTAGGATTCAGTGTGTCCCCATTGGTACCATGCATTTTAGGGCAGGGAGGGGGACATTTCTTAGAAGGGAGAGAGCAGTTAGGGCTGCAGTAGCCAGGGCAGGATGGATGTAGGCTTGGGTGGGAGAACCACACTGAGAATTGCTTCTCAAAACCTGTTTTTCCTTACTGTAGCCACTCCACGGTCACTACTATCACAGGCTCGTTTAGTTATCCGCAGATCCCTGTGCCACACCAGCCAGCCACAAGCCATCGACCAGCTGGATATTCCCCCCATGTTGATTAGCTACCTCAAACACCAACTGTAATCTTGCAGCCTGCCCAGAAACCTACAATGCCTCCAAGAAATCACCTGGGGATCCAGGTAGCTGGAGGGAACTACAGCTCTATGCACTCACCCAAAGCTGCTCTCCTGTATTATCCTCCACAATAAAATCCTCAGAAAATAAATCCTGGGGGCTGTTGTGTCTGGTGTGTGTTAGGTTGTGGGGGGGCACAGAGTTCACTGGGGGAAGGTGTCTGGTTGGTCATGGGAAAGAATTATACTGATCTGGCATTCACCAGGCATAGGAGCCTGACTTCTGAAAGATAAAACTAACCCAATGGCCTATACCTCCCCACCAAGATCCTCGAGACAGTTGGCACTAGTAATGTCCTAGCAGCAAGGTCCTGAAGAAATCAGGTAAGTATAAGGGTAGCATCATCTTGTTCAGCCCTGGGTCTCCATTGAATCTCTGGCTGCTATTTTTACTGAACCAAACTTGGGTCCACAACCAATCTATTGACACCAGATTATGGTGAATGAAAGCCACCTTTTCAGGGGCTGTTGCCTGTCAAGACTGGCTCGACAAGCAGGGTTTCCAAAAGTGTGATGTGGCAAGAGAATGAGAAACAAGGCACAAGAATCCAGAGAAAAGCAAGGATCAAGGGACCAGGGGACCAAGACCACTCCAAAGTGAAGGTGCCAAAACTGAATCTAAGCCAGCTTTATTATACTTTCAGCCATGAATGAAAGAATATGCAGGGAGTTAAACTATAACTCATGTGGCCTTCAAGGCCAAAGAACAAAATGATCATTAACCATTGAGTAATTAAGAAACAGTAATCAATAACAAATCGGTAACTAAGACTAATATTCTTATCTATAGATTTCCACCAGATACGTAAAACATGTGACTCTGAGACACCAGTGGAGAAACAGTCTGGGGTTGGTTTTCTGACCCAGGATCATATCTTGTTTTCAAGATTATGAACTGTTCCCTCTGGACTTGTTCTAAGAGTCTCATGCCTTATAGCATCCAGTTTATCAATAACTATAAATTTCTTTTGTGGCCCTTGCCGGGGCCTGCTTTTCTTTTATTCTTCCTGTCTCCTACAGTTGCCAAACACCTTTGAGTCAAATGACCAAGGAGTCTCCCATTCACTCACCTTGAATCATAGGCTGCATTACCACTAGTCTATTATATAGTCAAGATCTAGCTAGGAACACAAATTACCAAATATTTATGACAACAGATTTAACATGGAAAATGGTTACACAGGTGATAGGCAGAGAATCTAAGAAGGACAGGAAGTTATAGATTAGTGATAGCAGGAGTCTAACACCATTCTTAGGCTAAAGGGGTGAGGGAAGAGATATGTCCAGAGGCTAGGGACTTGGGTCACCTGATAGAAAGTGAAATCACAGGTCTATCATGGGTATCCAAACAAGAGGAAAGGAAGAAACACCCTCTCCTTTACATCATTCTTGCCCATCAGTCTGCTTCCAGTGTCTCACTGGAGTAAACTACAGGTCAAATAATATTAGAGCTTGGGAAACACAACCTAGAGGGGTCAGCCCCTCTTGCAACATCTGGCAGAGCAGGGCAAGGTGAAAAATGGACAGTGGAAGGAGGTTGTATGACCTGAGCCAGGAACTGGATCACACAGCAGAATTGGAAGTATACTGATAGCAGAAGCCATAGAAGAGACACAGCAGAAATGCCACCAAAGGCACAAAAGGTAGAGCCTAAGTACCCTGACTTCCCCACATTTCTTACCCTCTCATCAGTGCCTTCCACTGGTTGAACCCAACCAGAAGATGATTGACGAGGAAGCCTGGGAAATGCAGCCTACTGTGGTCAGTCAACCTATGATGTGGAGAAGAACAGGGGAAGGAGGCAAATGGGTCCTGGACCAGCACAGATAGCCACCCAAATCCAGATGTGGGCACCTTCAATTTTGCTAAATCTTCATCCTTTCACAGTACCTTCTTTTATATCTCCTGCACAACTGTGGGTGTAGATATGGATGAGCAGTTAGAGAGATACAAGGTGAAGGCATAGAGGATGCAAGCCCAGATAATAGCTATGTGGGAAGTACTTTTGATGTTTAGAGCTTTTCCTCAGAGCTGTCTTGACAGACCCACCCCCCACACCCCTACATAATTATCTCCTATCATGCAGAACGGGAGGAAGGGAATGGGGTCGAAAATTACTTGCCTCTCCTTCTTCTTACTGCCTGCACACTCCCTAGCTCCTAGTGCTTGAGAGCCTTTAGAAAGGAAGGCAAGAAAACTGGCCATCTATCCCCATGGTCCTGCCCCATGCAGCTTCCAGACTTTCAAGTGCGTAAGGCATTTTGGAGGGCAGTGCAACTGTTTATGTCCAAGAAACAAGAGAAGTAAAGGACTGGAATATATTATAAACAGACTTCAGGGCAGAGAGCCACAGGTATCTTTTATCTTTCTTTCAATCTGGGTTCCTGATGGGTGTTATCTGGGACCCCACTCCTTTTTCTGTTCCCCATCCCCTTAGTCAAGGTTTAGGAGATTTGGAGTCAAGTTCAGCAGCCCCATCTATTGGGTTGGCCGCAAAATTCCTTTGGGTTTTTCTGAAAGGTATTATGGAAAAACCTGAATGAATTTTTTTGGCCAATCCAATACTTTAGGACCCAGGGAAAATACACCCTTCAAATGGGGCCTGCCCAGAGTAGCCTTTCCTGTGCCACCAAAATACAGATTCCCTGCTTGACCTTTGAAAATGAGTGGATACTCTTGGCATGCCAGAAGACTTGCATTTGATGAGGATGTAGGAGCACACCAAATCCTAGACCGAGAGGAAAGGCTGAAACTCTTTGCCCTATTTCCAAGATAATCAGATTGAGAACCTTTCAAAGTTAAGTGCCCATGTTATTGGTAGCTCAGCACTCCAGGCCTCTGAGCTATTGTTCTTCTACTTGCCTGTGCTTCTATGGACAGAAACAACTTTAAGGCCTGGTACCTTGCTCTCTTTCCCATCCAGACAACAGACCAGGAGTTAAAATGGATCATCTCAAATTCTGATGATGAATCTTCTGAGGCAACTTTCCCTAGGAGATATGAGGAGAAGGTGCCTGGAATGAAAGCTCACTCCTGGCCTTTAGTCTCTTGTTGGCGCTGCCCCTAGATGTTAATCTAGCTTCCTTCATATCCCCATTACAATCAGCAGTTTCCATGTACTTTGTTTTCCCAGTTAGATCTTGACTATAAGCTAGACTAGTGGGAATGCAGTTTCCAAGAAAGCCAAATTTTAACCCTTCTCTTCCTCTCTCCTCCTAACATTTATTTTCCTTTCTTCTCTCCCTATGTCCTACCCTCCCTTCTATACTGGAATTGCCATGAGCCTAGGGCTGTCTCTGCTCTGCACATGACACTAACAAGTCTGCATTCTTTCCTGTAATAGGAAAATTATTTCACTTTATTCAGAAAGGTGGCTACCAAAGACAAGATCCAAATTGCAAATGGTCCACTGTCTGCAGAAACCAGAGAGTTATCCTTCAGCTACTAATTTGAGGGAAAGGATAATGGAAGAGGTGGTGTTTGATCTTGGCCTTGAATGGTGGAAAATGTTGTAATTGGTAGAGAGGAAAAAAAAAGGTATTAATTGGGGAAACTCAGTGAGCAAAGTCATTGTTGCTGTTAAGTCGCTTAGTCGTGTCTTTATGACACAATGGACTATAGCATGCCAGGCTCCCCTGGCTTTCACCATCTCCAGGAGTGTGCTCAAACTCATGTTCATTGAATCAGTGATACCATCCAACCATCTCGTCTTCTGTCAGTCACTTCTCCTGTCTTCAATCTTTCTCATCTTCAGGGTCTTTTCCAATGAGTTGGCTCTTCGCATCAGGTGGTCAAAGTATTGGAGTTTCAGCCTCAGCATCAGTTCCTCCAATGAAAACTCAGGATTGATTTCCTATAGGATTGACGGGTTTGATCTCCATGCATTCCAAGGGACTCTCAAGAGTCGTCTCCAACACCACAGTTCAAAAGCATCAGTTCTTTAGCCTTCAAATTTCTTTATAAACCAACTCTTACATCCATACAAGACTTCTGAAAAAACCATAGCTTTGACTAGATGGGCCATTGTCAGAAAAGAAATATCTGTGCTTTTTAATATGGTGTCTAGGTTTGTCATAACTTTTCATCCAAGGAGCAAGTGTCTTTTAATTTCATGGCTTCAGTCATCATCAGCAGTGATTTTTAGAGCCCAAGAAAATAAAGTCTGTCAATGTTTCCATTGTTTCCCCATCTGTTTGCCATGAAGTGATGGGCCCGGATGCCATAATCTTAGTTGTTTGAATGTTGAGATTTAAACCAGCTTTTTCACTCGTTCACCTTTATCAAGAGCCTCTTTATTTCCTCCTCACTATCTGTCATAAGGGTGGTGTCATCTGCATATGTGAAGTTATTGATATTTCTCCTTGCAATCTTGATTCCAGCTTGTGCTTCATCCAGCCAAACATTTTGCATGATGTACTCTGCATGTAAGTTAAATAAGCAGGGTGACAATATACAGCCTTGACTACTCCAATCAAAATTTGGAAAAAATCTGTTGTTCCATGTCTGGTTCTAACTGTTGCTTCTTGACCTGCATATAGGTTTTGCAGGAGGCAGGTAAGGCGGTCTGGTATTCGCATCACTAAGATTTTTCCACAGTTTGTTGGGATCCACACACCCAAAGGCTTTAGCATAGTCAATGAAGCAGAACCAAATGTTTTTTTTTTTTTTTTTCTGAAATTCCCTTGCTTTTTCTATGTTCCAACGGATGTTGACAATTTGATTTCTGGTTCATCTGCCTTTCCTAAATCCAGCTTGAACATCTGGAAGCTCATGGTTCACATACTGTGAAGCCTACCTTGGAGAATTTTGAGCATTATTTTGCCAGCAAGTGAAATGAGTGCTCAACATTCAGAAAACTAAGATCATGGCATCTGGTCACATCACTTCATGGCAAATAGATGGGGAAACAGTGGAAACAGTGGCTGATTTTATTTTTCTGGGCTCCAAAAT